CGAGGCATATGTTAAACTTATCATATCTAATGTCAGGCCATCAATTCCTTTAGCATTAGATTTTATACCTTTTAGTAACTTAACTATGTCAGATGTGTTAACAGTACTGAGGACAAATGTACTACTACTAAAGCGATTAAATTCGAAAAATGATAACTGTGATATGGAAGCAGTTAGGTTACCGGGAATAATTAAAAAATTTTCATTGATCTGATCCGCAGTACCAACGCACAGTGGAATTGCTGACGATTTAGAGGGTATTAAATTGCTTTTTAAGTTCTTCCATAGTTTTCTGGGATTTTTTATGTTACCATTTATATGTAATTTGAAATAACATTTCTTCTCACTTTGAATTGCCTGTTCTACTAGTTTTTTTAAGTCTTTATAATAGATTAGATGCGCTGTAATTTGACGTATTTAAGTAGAAAAAGAAATACGCTATCAATACCAACTGAAAATTTTCTAAACATTTTTTTTTCGAATTCTAATTGGAAATACCCTCCTAAATTACAGAAGAATTAAAAAATACAACCATATTGAGAATCTCAGTCTTACTTTTCTTGAATTCGGTTTTTAACAATGTTAAGCCTAAGTGTTGTGAAATCATTCTCTTTTAATGATGATTTCGTGAATTTGAAGTGACGTACAATGATTTAATTGAACAACAGCACTGCAAAGAGAAGGAAAACTTGACACAAACCCTATACCAACGCGTCTGGTCAGCGTGGTATAGTAGGCCAAAACCTCCTATTAAAGGAGATGCTTATGTCCAATAGTGGACTAATAAAGACTGTTGATGAAGAGTAACTACTCTACCTATACCTATCTATTTTAGTCGAAAAATTTTAAAACATTGCAAAAGGTTCATCCAAATGTTTGACATAATACATCGTGTATAGTGTATAAACCTGAGTAATTATTGCAGCATTGTATAATAGCAAGCAATGTTTAAATAATGATTTAACAAACTTAACAATTTTACTCTAAATCTAATTGTTTTTGATATTAAAACAAATTATTAACAACTATATGTTTTTTATAACAATTTGTATGTTTGAACGCAATTTATTTAATAAAAAAACAGTTGTTTCGATACTACTCTCAAAACTGTTTAATATAACACTTAAATCACTGATTTTGGGATAATAATATAAACAAACACTTAATTTTATTGTTCAATTTGCCAAATACAATATTATTAGTGTGGTAAGACAGGTAATGTTATTTGTAAAAGCGCCGTCTGTTATAGATTATATGAACTAACTTCCAATTGTACTTAGGACTTGTGAAATTTACATACAGTATCCATGTCATGTAGATATTTATATTCGCTTATCATTAAACTAGGTTTTATAACTAAGTAACAACTGTATATAAATTAACTTTCAGAGGTACTAATAATTAAGACATACTCCCGTGTCGTATTTAGTATATAATCACCTTATATGGTATATAAGGTGATTATATACTAAATATCATCAACGAACAGCATATAATATATGCTCCTAAACTAAAACTCCTCCCTAAAATCAAGGAACAGCATATAATATATAATATATGCTGTTCCTTGATGATTATTAGGAGTTTTGTTTCATGCCCGTTATCACTGTTTACCGAATCATCATCCTGCGACTAGTGTATTGATTGCCATTATTAATTATTTGAAAATTGATGAAAATTTTAAACAAAATAAGAATATATTGAGTACATTGTACCGTAACAGCTGTGTTATATAGCAAACTATGTAGGCAGAGGTAATGCCAACTATTTACTCTTATTTTTGTATATTATTTTCTATACGTATCTTATGAGATAGATAAGTTTATTGACATGTAAGCATTTTTTTTACAGGGTCTATGAAGAGGGGACTATTGAATTAGTTGCAGATATAAAAAAAATTCATTTAAAAGAATATCTCTGACAGATCACCCTAAAGAAACTCTAAACCAAAATAGGTATATATTTCTTTTTTAGGTACAAAGACCTAATTTATTAAAAAAAAATATTGTAAAATAAATTCAAATACCGTTCTACTTTTCAGAAGCATTTCAAAACGTTTATACTCTAAATAAAAACTCCGTAAGCTACAATTTACGTCTAAAGCCTATCTATGAATGGGCTTCAAAAAATCGCATTACATAACCCTGGCGTCCGCAAAACCTCGATAGAGTTTAAAACCTACTTTTGTATCGGGTTTCCCGGCAAGTGTTTTTACAAAGGACTTCCTTAAGAACTTGCTCCGTAGATCCTTCTAGTGTTTTATAAAATATAGTTTGAGTTGCACACCGTGTTTTTTTTCTTGGGATTACTACTATCAGTTACCACTACGGATTTTATTTGTGTTTTGTTTGTATTGTTCTACGAGTATACCCTGCCACACTTCGCTGTGCCACATTGTGGTTGCACTGATGAGAAATGTTGCATGTTTGTAGTTTTGTGTATCATGTCAATTTTCGCTCGCGTCTTCAGCTTAATCTGTGCCAAGTTTTTGAAGCGTAAACAACCCAACTTAATATTTTGATTTATTTAATCTGCTAGAACTAACATAGCTCGTTTACCTCGGAAATAGATATGCAATTATGAATAGGAGAACACCGTCTTGAAAATCAGATAATTAAAACAAATGATGTAGAAAAACAATTATAGACTAGAATATTTTATTACATTTGATATACGGCAAATACATATACTGAATATCGAAACAAAAGCAAGTTTAAAAAAATACTGTCTGCTAAATATGCCTGGCAGTTTCACCCACGAACACTACTCTGCTCACTAAATTTCATAGTGAGCTTATAAACTTCATTCAAAATTTGTCGACTTTAGTAAGTAAACCCAAAAAAAACCGGCTTGTAGGTCCAATGATTAGATTTATTACAATATTAGTACATACAGCTCGATTGTCTGAACAACTTGTATAGTCATATAAAAAAAAGTACTTACTGATTTTTTGTTTGTTCATAAACTTTATAAATGTTTAAGGACCAGAGACCTGGGATGCACAATAGGTATTTTTGGATGTACTAGCATGCAATTTAAAATTTCATATGTTGAAGCCAATATGCAGAACCCATCCAACTATAATTGAGTAACAAATGAATACGTAGACATAGTTCGCTTGTCATTTGTCTAATCTTGATGGTAACTATCTAAAAGTAATTTAAAGTTGGCTCGTCGCGTCGCAGTCGCGTACGTGCATTCAAATTGCCTTATTCATCCAATTAACATAAGCAGTAATTTTAAAATTATGAAATAAATCCAAGAAATGTGTAGTGTGTAAGTACCCATTCCTTGGATTTTGGGTAAATTTATATTGGTTTGTTATTATTTGAGAGATCGGTCATTTGCAAGTCACTTCTAGCATACAAGTCTTTTCCTAATCTTAAAAAATCTAAATAAAGGTAGTAGAGGAAAGCTTTTAGAGCATACTTAAGCACATTGTATTTCACTATGGTCTAAAACTGACGTATTAATAGTGATATCCTATATACATTACAGAGAAGGATTTAGTTTTAATTCTTTTTTTTTTCATATTAATGATGAGTTAAATTTAAATAAAAGATACAATATAGTTAATAATATTGACCGGTGTGTGTAGGTACATTGTCTTTTGTTTTAGCTTCATTTTACTAACCACCTGCTAGAAAACTTAATTTAGAACTGCTAGAAATTTGTTGGAAACTCAACAATAACTTATGTCTGCTGACTACTGTCATTATTGGAAATCACAAGAAATTGTTGAAATGTGTACTTATCGAGGCTATATTATTTGGGCTGTGGTAACCTCACTCACTCAGTGAAAGGAAACGAAAGAATTGCCTAACGCCGTGGTATCACTCCGGTCGAGTCGGCCCATTCGTGCCGAAGTATGGCTCTCCCACGGCTACGTTTATCAATATCTTCTCTCTCATTTCCTATTCAACTTATCATTAAAATAAAAATAAAAAAATTAAGTAGTACAGCCGAAATTATATGTAAATAGGATATTCTGATGTACCTGTCATTTTCATATGGGTATTTCACCTACATGGGTGTGCAGGATGAATCCAAGAAGTCCATTTTCTAATATTCTAGGAGCACAATAAAACAACAAACTTTAGTGCATATTAAACACATTATAATTTTACTGATACATTTTTATTATAAAATCTTATCTAAATTATTTTAATTACTTAGATATTATTTACTTATACAATATCAATATATGTTATTAAAAGATAAAGCTATTCACAAAGTTAAAGGCATCGTAAATTTAAGTACCCGAAAATATTTTAAATTCATTACAATGGACGGAATTAGATCCATATTAAAATTAAATTAGTAAAGCTCTAAGACTTTTTACACCTTTAATACGAAGCGAATTAGGCTCGGTACGTACTGACTGCTTGACACGCAACCTACCGAAAACATGACCACGACACAGTTCCTACAGCACGTGACGGCACAACTCGTCACGAAATGCTTTTAATCTGATGTAATTTGACTTACTATTCTTTTACTACAGATTTAATAGTATCTGACTTTATGGGCAACAGGATCTTTATACTCGTAGAGACCAGCAGAATACTAAGGAGCCGAACTCAGCATTCTATTTTTATAATCATTCATGACACCTAAAAAAGTAACGAGCCGTAACCTTACCGTTTCATCTGAAACACGGAGGAATGTAACTGTGAAGTAAATCAACGATTTGGAGTTTCGCCAATATCCATAGATTTCAATGAACTAGGATCTGTAGTTTTAAGACTTGGTTAGAAAACTTTTGTAAATATTTCCTATTGGGTATAATTAAATTGCACAATCTTGTTACTTTATCAGTGAGTTTCGAACCTTAAACGATTATTAACAACAATTGCTGTGATGATAATAAAGTTAGATATCTTACTAACTAAAGCGTTTCAAAGATTCAGTCTGTGTATGACTCTGATTCAATTAGTATATTCAAAAAAATATGGCAGAATAAACATTTATAATTAACTCTCTTCTAGTTATACACGTTACTAATAATCTCTTATTTTTTCAATCACTTTGTAGCTCCTTCGTTCCGGGTACAAAGGTCCATTCTTAGACTCATATCCGTGGGATGATCGGAAGCCATTTTCTATATATTTCACATTAGGTACCGGTTCTCCTTTGTATCCTCTACTTTTAGTCACAGAGTTTACTTCCCTTGACTCAATTATTTCCTTTGACCGACCGTCTCTGGATGGCACAACTTTCTTACTAACAGTTTCAACTGTATCGGTGACACTCGGACGTTCAGGATCACCTGAACGCGTAGTGTACCGATAAGTTTCCGAAAAGTTATCGCTACTGTTGCTACCGCGCCGTATCGCCGGTGATTTTAATCTTGTATCTATCCGTGACACGAATGGACTGTTTTCTCTATTTAGCGAATCTGTCTTGTACAAAGTCGTTTTCCGTTCCTCTGATATACGATCTTTATAATGTGGTGAAGGTGTACCGTATCGGGACGATAATCTGCTTCCGTCTGAATCGTCGTCCGCGTGCAAAGTTTGATATAATTCTGGGGCTCGTTCACGTAGTCCCTTCAAGAATAACTTTTTCTTGTCTGTCTCATCAAAAGATTTGTTGTGTCCATTCGTATGACCATTGGTTATTGGCGTCGTTTTGCCATATCTAGCTCCAAACAAACCATCGCGTCTACGCTCCGTTTCACGAGAGACAGCATCAGCGAGATCGCGTTGACTCCTATTAATAATAGAAACTATGCCTGGACTTTTCAGCTGTTCCGGTGTTTCATCGAGCCGACTTAGGTGGGGATTTGACTTATACATAGTTGAGTAATTACGGTTCATGCTAGATACGTAACGCGGGTGAGTCTCCGGTTCAGGAGCTCCCATAGCAAAACTCTTGCTTCTATTGAGGGCTTTATATGTCCGTGCCGGTTTCGCGGGTCCGGGTGGGTATCCGTTAATTTTGCCGTCTGGTGAAGCTGTGACGTTGTTTGATATATTTACGGCACTGTTGGACCGTTTATTGGGCGTTAGTCGGTGCCAATATTTGTTGGAACTTGGTTTTTCGGTGGTTTTCTCCTTACGGTCATGAAGTTTCCTTGGCAACGTCTGCGCGCTACGAGCGTATTCTTCTTCCGGCTCGCTGTTCGGATTCAGTCGACTTGTTGAGTGACTGAATCGACCCAACGTGCTCGAAAATTGACCCCTGAAACGTGACAGAAATAAATGAATATTTTTTGCTGTTACAAGATTTATTGGTGTACATGATGAGAGGATAATGGTATAGGCCCACGTACAAATATTGTCTTGTAAGACGCAAAAACTTGTAATCTTGTTAGAGTTCTGATAATTGGATTCAATGGGGGTCTCCTCCTACGCTTCTAACAACCATGTTTTTTACGCGTATAATACGTCTTTGTTAGGTTTTAAAGTCAATAAGTTAATATAACTTAAGATTAACTAGTAAAATAATGTTCAAAAATTTTATTTGTCTTCGAGGTCGACTAAACGTGATTGACCGATTTTAAACATGTCGGAAGTAGTGTCCATTGTGATTTGCAAAAATAATAATTATAACAACCGATTAACATACAAGCTCCGCCTATACATATATCAGGTGTAGATTAAGAACATTTCCTCGCAATGAGTCACATGTAGCTTGTCATTGTGAGTACTTCCAATACAGCCTCTGTTTCACTTGACAAACACGAATGACTCAGAAACTGTACACTAAATAAGGGTTTTTGTACAAATAAAAGGCTTATTTACCCTTAATAGGAGATATCCATGAACGGTGACATATGAAAAAGGCAAGATATGCCGGAACGCTACTTTAATTGAAGGAGCTAAGATTGATTGGTGAAACTGTTGTATCTATTAATAGCCTCTAGATTGAAATTTTCTTTGTTTTGTAAAGTGAGGTTCGTGTTAATAATTGCTATTGACATGGAATTTATAAATAATATGGTGATTTATAAACAGGGCTTCTACATTAATTAATCCCAGTAATTCGTGTTTAGTTCTTAAGACTTATACTTTTTAAATTCTGAACGTTTGTGCGTTTTCAAGAGAGTTTTCACTATTAATTTGAATGTATATTTAGGTAGTATGATAAAGTGTCAAGATGTATGTGTGTAATCTAAGTAAAATGAAAATTTCTATATGAGAAATATACTCTTCAACCAGACTACGAGGATTACTAAAACACGAACAAATCAAACGAAACTCTTTTTTAATTTCTAGAGATTGGTTTCCTAAGCAATTGATATTAGCCACAATTAAAATTTAAATATTAAACATTGAGTCAATTCCTTTTTGGTTTTGACCATTATTATGTGGTAACTAACTTTGTATTTAAACATCTACAAACGTAACGAGGTCTTTAGAAAATTCACAATTCAAAACATATTCCCTATTTCGATGTTTTGTGTTGGCGACGTTTGACACAGTTTGTGTTATGTCAATACGTTCCGCAATTTCTGAAATGGCTTGGAATGTAAGAAATACTATGAATATGAATATAAGCTGTGGGCAAACTGCAGCAGCCTATTTGAAATAATTGTCACGTATACACACCTTGCCGAGTGCTTGTCAAACATAATGCTGCTAATGCAATTTTTTTAGACAATCAACTAGGCAAATAGGCGCCATAATGATAAATGGTTACCTGAAGGCCAATTCTCGTAATAAGAATTTGGTCTCAATTCAGCTCCGATCAACTTTCGACATCACAACTGTCCTAAAAGTTATTTTCGTAGTAAAATATCAAACATCCAACGTTGACTGTAATGTGATTATATCGTATTGTAAACGAAATTTGAATCGGTAATCTGCTAGTCTCAGTAATACTTTACTGTTTTACTACGAAAATACCTTTTATGACAGTTGTGAGATCGAAAGTTGATCAGAACTGAATTGATACCAAACTTTAATTACGAGAATTTTATTGGCCTTCAGTGCTTATATTTAAACGTAATAACAAGGAACTCAGAATCAAAAGAAGTACAAAGTATCCAGTAAATACAGCAGCATTTAATAGATACTTGCCTTACACAAATCTGTTCATTACGGCTTATTATCTAATTACTCATCATTCATCATCATGCCTTTATGGTCCACTACTAGATATATATATTTAATTACTGATAAACAAACATAGCCAATCGACTAATAACAATCTAGCGACGTTTGATATTATTTTTACTGTGTATTTTGCATTGCTCATTGATGAGTAGAGTAGTAAAGTAAGTAATTAGAGATATTTAAAAAAATTAAAGAGTACTAATTTAGTTAATTAAAGAACTAATGTTACCATATACACGACCCCAGCTGTAACTGAGGCATGAAACCAAAGGGTGTTTTATTTAAAAATATAGTAGTCTGGCATTTCAATCGTTATTAAAGTAGAATGTTTATTAAAGTATATCTTAATATTCCTTTGACCTTCGATAAAACAATCCATAGTATTGTATTCACTTATAGGATTAAATACTATTGCAAGGCCTTTAGTATAAATTACCGATCCGTAACTTTATAATGCCTAGATCTGAGCCTAAGTACGCAGTTATCGAGGTATTTATTGAATTCCATTAAATTCTAGGAAATTTTATTGTATTATTACGTCAAGGGCTTACTCTGTCCCCGTATTCGATGACCAAAATAGCACTTACGAAGTTATCTGTTCTTTGTAATGAATTCTTTGAGAGACTCCTAGTGCAAGGTAAATCTAGATACCTTTTTACGTCATCATCATCATGATACCTGAATCTAGATACCTTGTTATGTACAGAGCAAACTATTTAACTAAATTTATATTTAAAAGTTTCTCGTACTTCTTATACTCTTTTTAAAAAAAGTGTTAAACTTCGTTTACGAAACAAAGCTAGTTCAGCCCACATGTTTACCCGTTAACGCAAAATCTATCTTTATTACTATCGACTGCTATCAAAACGCCGTAACTTTATGATAATGCAAACACAAAACATTAATTAAAGGTTTCATCTATTTTAATGTAGGTGGACGCACGACTCAGTAGTAGGACAACATACTATTTAAGGTGAATAGGATATAATTTTTGTAACAGGTGAATATCTATCATCTGCGGTCATATTTAAAAGAGTACGTGGAAGCAACATTCACAGTGTTTTTATGAAACTAAAAAAAAATAAAGGCCTATTATCACATTCATATTTAGGTATTTAAAAGTCAATGTTTGTTGACAGGTTATTAATAAATAATACTGCCTAAATATCTAGTTTCAAAAACGTAGGGGGAGGCATCGAGTAGTACCGAGATAAAACTAAACTGACTAGAACCTGCTTAATAAAAAGTAACTAGTGTCAAAAAGATGGTACTTGGTTGCTTACCTTTCGCGGTGGTCGCGGGCATCGGTAACGGCGGCTCGTCTCGAACTGCCCTCGTATTTATGCTCTCGACCGTAGATGCTAGGCGCGAACGGATCCTCTCCAAGGTAGTAGCGGTGCGGTGGTGCGACGGGGGGCGCCAGTTCGCCACCATACGGCTTGTACGTACGTGACGAGTGCTCTGGTGAAGGTGTGCGAGAACTGCGGCACCTACCCCGACGTTCCGCGGAAGCTGAGCGAATCTTTCCGACGAGCTTTCGAATAGAGTTCCCGATGGCCGACCCAACAGATTTACGTGCAGGTGACGGTCGACGACCATTATCAGCAAACCGAGTCTTTTGATTTTGTTTACGCTCCTCTCGATCCCTTCGGCGTGGTGGCGTGCGATCCCTGTCAGAACTTTCCCGCCGTTCCCTAGGAGGAGAATAATCTGGTGGTGGCTCTAATGCTCCTTCCTCACGACTGTCACGTGATCTCCCCGAGTTTTCATTCCGAGATGAACTTCTGTAGCCACTGTCATAGCGATGCTCTTCTGACAGTCTTTGTTTTGATTGTCGTTTTCGTTCCGGCGCAATAGGCCGGTAATCGTCCTCAACAGAGGGTTCGCGATAAACTCGATCGGCTTCGAGTGGTCGGAAGGGAGAGCCACGTGGCGGACTATGCATTGTCGACGATGAGACGTAGGCGGAGTCGTCGCGTGAGGGCGGATGGCGGCGGCCGATAGGCGATGACCTCCCCTGCGGCGAATCACGCTTCCCGTACACATGTCTAGGTGAAGAGCCGTTTAGTCGGTCATCACTGGCATATGGAGAACGTACGGTTGGAGGAGATGGCGATGAGCTACGTGGCTCAGGCATTCTTGGCTTGCTGGCTCGTCTCTGTGACCAGTCCGCAACACCTTTGAAATAGCCACCTGTCCTATTAACAGGTGCTGCAGGTCGTTCGTCTGAAGGCGTAGACGATTTTGTTTTGCGCAACACTCTATCTCCATAAACAGGTGGTGGTGGAACGGATGTAGTCTTTCCGTAGTATCCTTCGTCTTCAGGTTTATTCTTTGTGTAGAAGCCGGTCTCGGGTCGTCGTCCGATTTCTTCGGCGATAGAGTCGTGTGAAGAGCGGGACTCGCTTCCAAAATGATTTTCAAGCCACTTTGACGTTTCTTTCTTGCGTGTTTCCTCTTCTATATCGTAGTCGACAGGGCGTTTATAGTCTTTGTCGTGATCTGAAAACAGAACGAAGTATGAACGCGAGCAATTGAGACGGCTGCGGCGCGGGCGCACGCGCTACGTCTCACAGTAGAGTGACCGCCCGCGTCGCATCTTTGCCATACACGCTATGGCGTAATCATTCAGTCAATAAGTTTGCCAAACTACTGAAGGTCAATGCGATGTATACTCGAGACAGCTTTACTTAACCACTACGGGACATTATCGTTCAAACTATTCTCTTTACTTACTTAACTATTCATAATTTCTAGGTCACTATTGGTTCACATTATTTTTATGGCGTTATGTAATATTGTGTCAGTCTTGGTGGTCATTTAACTCAAATGATATTTAGATGTGTTTCTAGTCTTGGACAAACAAATGAAATAAAAATTCTTAGTTATAACCTAAAAATGTTGTATTTTATGTACTACATTATTATAGTGTTTTACACGTTCAAAGACGACGACGACAATGAGAATCAAGTAACGTGATTACCACTTTAATAGATCATAGTACTTAAATTTAATTTAATTACAGTTACTTATATGTGAAGGTGAACATCAGTCTTGGTCCACCGACGTATCCCAAAAAAAAATAGGGCTCTCTTTGGATGCGACTTTCAATGATGTTAATTATTTGTCAATTGAAATTAATAAAAGAAATATCCGTAACCTTAAAGCCATTATTGGATATTATTTTTTATTAAAAAATAAACATTGTACCTTCTCGTACCCTACTATCTTCGTATTGTACTATTACTTTTACATAAAAACCTAAATATATACATAGAAGATTACCTGTTCTCATCTATTTTTAGTACTAATAACAATAATTATAAGCTTTTGACCACAACTCGCTGATCGTTTAAAAACTTTAGACAGCTCTAATTTAGAAATCCTGTAGTCAGATAAACCTGCGATAATGCAATGATTTTCGTTTTAATTAATACAGTCCTTCTGGAGAAAGACCAAAGTAAGGTCATCCAGCTGTTGTATTTGCATTGTGCCGATAATCGCTTAATACTTACGAAATGTATGGGTAAATGATAATGCAATAACCGAAACAAATGTCTTGCAACTTAAGTAGTGTCATTTGCTCCAATATGTATATAGGAGAAGACTATGTTCAGCACTGGACTATTAAAGGCTGTTGCTGGTGGTGGTGGTATATACATATGTGAATGAATTAATATGACAAGGCTGTAATTTAACGTAAATTAACAAACAGAAACACAAAAAATATATTATAATAATATAATATTTTCGAACGTCGTAAGCAGAGCTCATACTATGAAAGCTAGATTGACTGATAGAATACTTATATATTTTTTTTGTAAATACATACATATTAGACATAGAAAACCCCCAAGCTCCAAAATAAATATTTGCAGATCATACAAACATTTGTTCCGCCCGGGACTAGAACCTTAGACCTCAGCACAGCAGTCGCATACGGTACCACTGCACCACTAAGGCAGTCTTGAACTACGTTCTTATTATAAGTGATAACCTCTTGACTTTTCTCTAAAATGTTGTGTAAAAATATCACCTGCTTCTCCTGCGACATGTCAGTAAAAGGCAATACATCACAAACTTGGCATTACGACATTTAACAGACCGGGCCCTCTTCGCAAGCGTGTTTACTCGCCCTATAAGCATCTGACGTCATTGCGAAAACTGCAATTAAATATGCACACCGAGATGTTGAAATTTCACTTCTAACATCCAGTAATAAATCCGGTTGACATGAATCAACCCGGAATCAACAGTTATCTTATACTCTCTAGTTATAAACAGAATTTACGGATTTCTATAAATTGCTGTTATAAACAAAGTTTTAGACTGAAAATACAAATTAGAAACGTCTTTGAGAGTTCATCGTACTTAAACCAATATAATGTATATGGAATAATTTCAGCCACCAAGATTTATTGTTGCTTAAAGTGTGTACCTACTTTTTTCTATTTATGTAAATATTAAATATTTAAAAAAGGAACATTTTAATGGTTTAACTTAAATACATATTACTTGTTACAATATTGTATGTTTTCAAATTATATTGAATTGCTAGAATTGAAATCTATAGATTTCAGATTACATTATTTATTTAAATATAAAGAGTTAAACTCTAAATTATTCTAAATCTGACATCCAAAGATTTCAATACTGACGGTTGCGATTCAATTACTTCATATGTGTCAAGCGGTTTGATATTCAGAATATAAATCAAATTGTATAAAATATTAGTATTCATTGACTAAACGATTATGAAAATGTAGACTTTTATATAATATACTTTGGCATATGTGAGCCGGCTCGGCGTTAGTAAGACGACAGCTTCACAGAAAACCGATGTTAATCAATTCTATCGTTGCTCTTCACCGAGAGATTGAGATTACTAGGGCCCAGGTTCTCGGATCACTTTAAAATCCTTGGTGGAAGTGACAACTTTCTTTCTTTTGATTATAAGAAAGACATTGCTGCTTCCGATTAATTGTCTAGAGAGGTGAGAAAGGCATACGTTTTGGGACGCTGTGTTTTTTAGCAACTTCAATTAAACGAAGGTAAAGTTGAGAAACCATTAAGCACTGGAAAGTTGTGTCATCTGTGAATACTTCCAGATTGAAAACGGTTCAATGCAAATCTTCTCCTAGACCTAAATGACTAAATTACTGACTCTTTCGGGTTACGAGGAAGAAGATTTTTTTTTAAACGACAGTGTAACAGTTTAGTGATTGGCCGAAATAGTGGCCAGAATCTGTCAGGTTTTAAGTGTCTTCATCGCTATTAAATATCGTCGAGAGCGTAATTTGCGTATAGCACTACGAGGATTGCTGATATTAAAGTTACCAAGAACCATTTAGCAGAAGGTAGGTCTGAATTTTTTACAAAAAAAAAAATCTATTTAAGCACTTTTGGAAACCATTACACCTTTGTCTGTTTTGAGTACACAATATGCTCAATATTAATAGCACATGTTTAAATACATTAAATAAACGCTGTCTGAATAATATTATATGACTAACAAGTTATGTTTTCTGAACTTAAATGTTTTATCACACTATTCAATGCTAAAATACCTCTTTGTTCTGTTTATTTTACGACAAAATGAACCGCTGTTATGTCCATTGAATACCAGAAAGTATGACCGCGTTATACGTGCTAATATAAATAAATACATATAGGTGAAGCACGAATTTGAATTCGAACACAGCATGCGATATAATATTAAATAAAAAATATCAAGAACGGTCACGATTGTAATAACGATGTAACCTGTACATATAGCCCTAACCCCTAATATCTTGCATTTTTTTTTAATCTGTCAACAATTTTTTTTTTATTAATCCGACTTACCTATCACTAACGCAATATAAACAAAAACCTTTTGCTCTGGCTGACCATCAGACATTTTGGTGACCCTTAAAAATTTACGTAAATCAAGCACAAGCGCAACAAGAACTAATAATAATAATAGTTAGCAACTAATAAAATGAAAATAGAGCTTGCCATCATTATTCATACCCAACGTAACCAACGTAACAAACAGTAATGACGTCTGAAATTAAAATTATGATGATGACAACTTGGAGCGTTTGAAGGTGACCGGAGGGGTACAAGTTTAGAAAGCCAGAGGCAGAAGTCTCAGGAGATGGTCAGACCAGATCGCTGAGCAGCTGGAAATGAATATTCCATCTCCTTCTTCAAATATAATTTATTTTCCTTCAAGATAAATATCACTAGAATCAACGCATTACGGTGTTTTCTACTTCTGTTCATGTCACAACCGTCCACCCGTGCGTAGGCTCAATGATTCTCCATATACAGACTTGATGGGCATGTAACATTTAATTGGCCACTTTAAATCTCTTATAACCGTGCCACATGTGTTCGTAAACTCCTTAATTGTTCTGAAAACAATTCACCTACCAGATTTGTTGGGGAAAGTGAAGAGGCTGACGCATGCGATGTGTTATAGATAGAAAATAAGTAACATGTAGTTGTTTTTATATAACTTGGCATTGCAAAAGGAGCACACAGATCGCCATAAATCGTTGCTTGTACCTAATAAATAAGTCACAAATGTTGTCCTAGATATCACAATTTTTAGATAATGTTTTTGAAATCTGTGAGGGATGACTAACTACTAACTTATTATATTTTTTGACAAATATAAATCATAGTTTACCCCAATTGTCAAATATAAAGAAGCGTAAGATTTTTCGTACTATAAAATATAATGTTAAACTAATTGCCTAATTCATGCATATTTAAAGAAGGCTGTTCTTAGCAAATTTAATTACATATGTATGATATGAAATTTATAAAAACTCGGCGCTAATGTTGGAATACAATCTACGAACTATAAAACTCGTTTAAATTAAGAAAACAAATTTAGAAATTGCAATTGTGAAATGTAATTCGTGGGGTGACCGATTAAGAATACAGAATGCTGCCACCGCTATTTATCCTGTGCGGAGCGAACAGCGCTGGACAACAGCACTGCAAAAAGAAGGAAAACTTGAAACAAACCGTATGCCAATCCGTCTGGCCAACGTGGTATTTTTCTACTTCAGCCTACTGCCGTCCACTGCTGAACAAAGGCCTAGCCCAAAGAGCGAAAAAGCGTGGAATAGTAAACTATTAAAGGCTGTTGATGAAATATAAAATATTTTACCTAAATAATATTTAAATTTTTCGTTAGTTGTAGAATTAGTTTTTAAATAAATTTTAACGTGTACGAGATATATTTTTCCCTTAAGGTTATGTCTTCTGGTTATGTCCTCACACTTTGTCCTTAGCAACCAGGAAGCGTTTACGATACATCAGAGTCGAATGGCGAGCAACTCTATCGATCAACTTGGACGTAACACAATAGCAAGACATGTCGACTAACTGTAGACGCAAGGCCGCTATGCACTAAGTTCTCAGTTTGAATATAATTATGAATATAATTATGTGTGTGCAGGATTGTGTAAACCTGCATAAATTGCTCTCAGACAGATTAACAGGTGTCTTTGATTGACCAAAGAAAGGTTTCTCTGTGTAGTTCCAAACTTGTTATATAAAAGGTCAACTAAGTATGATATTATATGGCTCTACAAGCCATAAATTTCGTTACGCCACACGTCAAAATCTAAAGGATTAAAATACACAGCGAAAATTTGAAAAAACAAACATATTTATCTTAATGTTGTAAATCCATGGATATAACGCGATTCTTGTTATTGATTTTATGAAGAAAAGTTACTTTTGAAACTGTTGCTGCTTTTTTACAATTATGAGTAGAAAAATTGCAAAATTATATGACATCACACCAGATACAAAAGAGGGTCCCGCAAATATCACCACTTTTAACAAGGAAAGGATTAACAGAATTATGAATGGTCCCTAGCTAAAAGTGACGATGTCATGCTTGAAAAAAAAAACCAAATCTTCTATTATTTCAACTTAGAGCTTAAAATATGTTAATGTTATATTTCAAATTAAACTAATTTAATTATGATACAATTACGTACAGTATGTTGTTACGAAGCATTTCCTGCAGTTTAACCTACGTTTATGCGGTTGTATCCTGATGTTTTATAGCCTATCTTTTACAAATTTACTCTTTTCAACTTTTTTACTAAAAATCATGGCTGGATATATTCAAAGAGGTCTATATTTTATTTACAACAAACTTTTTACTCACAAATAAAATCATTATTTTAATTTAACAGTAATAAAACGGCTTAAGCTGAAATAGTCATAATAATCCGTCAATACCTCAATTTAAAGTAGGAGTGATTGATAGTTAATTATCAACAGAGACAGCTTCCAAATTAAGCAATTTAACACATGACAGGTTTACAATAATTTGGCCCATTAAATAATACGTTTAACAAATTTACAAAACTGGAAACTACTTTAATATCTTCATAAAAACACACTTTATTAATCTAATAAATGTTCTATCAATTTGCTTAGGCCTAAACTACTTATGTTCTTGCCTTATACATTAAAAATATTGCGTCTAATAAAATGTATAATTATATCATTACTTAGGCAGGTCTGGTCTACCCACGGCGCTTACTATATCTTGCACATTTAAGGCAACTAGTTATTGCCAACAAAGCTACCTCAGGTTTTGCTACTACGACAACTCCTATTGGCTGTTATCAAGTTCATTTCATATTCCAACCAATCAGAAACCTTACATTTGCATCTGGGCATGTTAAGCTAATTTGAATGTTTTTAATTATGATGCCTTTATATATCTACGGTATGCGTATAAGAAGTTAATTGCGCGGTATTTATCTAAACGTTTACGTATTAATAACAGACTTGACAAATATAGTAACTATATTAATTCTTTAAGACGGGAAAATTACTTGGCTATTTTTGATGATAAACAAATAGAGTAGTTATGGCGTTAAGTTGTAAGACCCAGTTTTACGTCGTGACTACAAAACGTATAAACTAGCTTAAATCTGGTTTTATTGTGAAGCCTGTGAAGAATTCAATGTCTATGCTCCTAAGTTTACCTTAACACGCAACGGCCATTCCTTCTCTTTAATCCTGTTAAATCTTGATTAGGTATTACGACGTCATACAAAGGCCAAATTCCCAGTAATTTTTTATGTACTGTCAAATAAATTCTAAGCTATTTTCTTAATTTTACTAATCGTAAAGAACGGATGAAGATCACCACGTATTATCACTAAGTATTATCATAAAGATTGCGGCCGACTACCTGGAGAAATACTTCTCTGATATAAATACATATATATATTTGAGAAATATAGTTAAAAAAAAAGATGAAATCACTCAAGATATCGCCATTTTTGGTCATAAGAAAATCAGCACTTAACAAAACTACCTGGTAACCCTTTTTTTTGTTTATCCTCATATTAAATATATATGTAACATAACAATAGGAAATATAAATTATTATCAACCCAAATACTAAATTATAATAATATTCAAGTTATATAATATTGCAATCGATAGTCACTTTTTCGGACTGGCTTGGTCACGCGGAACTACGCACCTGTCAAGGCTTTAGACACGCACTCCAAAAATGGATTCACTGGGACCATACTGACCCATTAACATATAGATCGCATAAAATGACACTGGTTATTTATGAAATAACTTATTAAGGACAGAATGGCAAATTCTAACACTATAAACCATAGTCCAGCTATTAGAATAATATTAAACGTAGCTCATATTTGGAATTTAGTAAGGCTATAATAATAAAGCAGCAGGTTGTTGGTGAAATAGAAAAAGTTAATATTACAATTGATGATCTTAAGTCTTGTTTGTAAAGTAATTATGACTAATAATTAATAATTTTCACCTATTTTTTTAGTTACTTTACATTTGCAATGTAAGAAAGAGTAATCTGTGAAAAATATTGTGCATGTTAGTATTATTAAAACCTTTTTTTCTGTATGAATAACAAAGATAAGAGTGAAATTGTAACCGAGTTAAAACACATATTTTTTCTCAAAACTGCCTATAAAGGTTCCGCTTAAATGTATGGTAACGGTTAAATATACATATTTTGGATAAGAGCCATCTATTCCAATATAGACGAACTATTTTGATTTCTTAGTTGAGCTAGCGCCATCTGCTATTGAGTAGCAGAACTACTGACTCCGCAATCCGCATCCTCAAAAATAATAAATGATTAGTTCTATATCTTACCGTTCTGCCGGAGGCGACGCTGTTGTCGCATTCTTACTGATAAACTGTCCCAGTCATCATCCATGTTTGGTTGGCCTTCTCTCTCAACTATAGAAAAAACAAGTAAAATATTACTTTTATCACATCATCGTAAATACGTGTACGCGTACATTAGATTCAACAAGAATAAACTAAATCATACATTTGAGTATGGAGTGCTTTAAAAGGCAAAAAATAAAAAGGCTTATATATTCACGTATAAAAATATATATCTCAACATATGTTAGGTACCTTCTTCGGTGCGAGAACGTGAATTAACGTGCGTAGCAACCCTGAGGCCACCCGCCATCAGATCAGTGCTCTTCTCTAGATCCACTCGCTTCCGCCTCTCTGTCCCACCGGTCTCTTCTACCACGCTCTCGTCGCTTGGCAGGGACTTCGCCTGAATAAAAATATCACACTAGAATAATTCTAAAGTAATTCAACGTTTTAACGAAGAGTTATATAGTTTCTTTAAATGAACACATTAGTCAGATTTCCTTCGTTCGTTTTTATTTGCTACTTGATCTACTTTAAATTTGAAGATATCATGATAAGCAAATGGAATTGCTTTACTTGGCTAGATATCCGGCTAAACAGCTATCCATTTCATCTTTTCAATATCATTGTGATTCAATATCACATTCACAAATAGGAAGACAAAAAAAAGTGCATTTGTTAATTGAGTAATATTCCTGTACAATATACGAGTATATTTACTTCGTCCTTAGCTAATTCCTCGTCGCAAAGTCGTTCTTGTTCCTTCGTGTGTCGTGTCTCGGTGACTATCGTGCCATCTGGCCGCAAAGCCCGCAGTTCCTCCTATAAGATATACGAGTACAGTTAGCTATGATAAGGTATTCTATTATACTATATTTCTTTTCTATTCATAACCAGAATTAGGTACATTCGGTACCAAAAATAACTTTAGTTGGTCTCTGTGCTGTGTTATATTTTTACAAAATTAGTTGAATAAAAATGTTGTCATTTGCGTTGAATTCAATTTCGCCTACTACATTTTTATGCTATGTACTTACTTTGAATGTGGGTATTAAATGTATACCTATACACCCAAGGCAGGGCAAGATTCAAAATGAACGTTTACAGTTCTTTTTGATAATTTCTTCTTGTGTTCACCATTATTTATACGTAAGAAAATCTCTAATAAATTCAGTTAAAGTGTTTAATGTTACTATTTCCAAACAACTAAAGTAGCAAGTAAGTATACAGGTTGCTAACTGATAATATGTCACGGAAACTTGCAACACCAAGGACATTATATATTATTGCTAAAAATAACGAAAGTCAAAGTCTGGCGTACCGTATACCGTATTTAATAATTTAATACTCAATTTACAGAGGGTACATTATACTACCCGGATCTCGTAACTAGTGGGAGTTCTTCTACACTTACCGTGTCATCAGTTGTGATGGTGGTATTGTACGCGATAGTATCTTTGACAAGCTTGGGGCCTCGCGGCACTAGCGCTAGTTGGTTTTCAGTCTGGGATTTCAAAGCATCTCGGATGTCTTCTTCAACTGTTTCATTTACTGCCAAAATTAGTGCCTGCAACAAACAAAATAGATGATTGTTAAAAATTACAGCATCCATAATTCAAGGTCGGTCGAGAGCCCTGTTATTAATTTATTTTTACCTTTCTTTTCTTTCATGGATTTCAAGATCTTTTAAAAAAAAGTTTAAATTTATTATCAATGTTCTTAAGTTTGTGATCATTTTGGCCTATATCAAATAACTCTGAAGAATACATTCTGGTAATAGCGAATAAACAAACCAATTGATACCCGAAGGCAACATAACCAGCGGCAAAAAAATTGCCTCAACCTGTTTTGGATACTCTTTGGAAATTACGTTTATTGAAAACTAGAATAGAGACGTCTTTGTGACAGTGAGGAACTGTCAAATATTACAATGACCGAGAGCCAATTTTACAAAAAAGCCGCTGGTTATTGGGCAAATGTGCCTGCAACAGTCGATGGAGTACTCGGTGGTTTTGGCCATATCTCGGACACTGACATAAAAGGATCCATTTCGTTTTTAAAACGAATTTTAGCATTTGAAAATCCACCTGCAACCAACCTAGTTCTCGATTGTGGAGCGGGTATAGGAAGAGTAAGCAAGTATTTGCTGATACCACACTTTGATAAGGTAGATTTACTAGAACAAGATGAAAAGTTTCTGAATACTGCACAAACTTTCATCGGAGATGACAACAAGGCCAAACTAGGTACACTGTATAAAGACGGACTTCAGAATTTTAAACCGACTAGTATGTACGACGTCATATGGTGTCAATGGGTACTAGGACATTTAAAAGATTACGACTTGGTTGATTTCTTTGAAAGATGTAGACAATCGCTTAATAGAAACGGGGTTATTGTTGTAAAGGAAAATATAGCTACTGGGGCTGAAATAGAATACGATGATACCGACTCGTCAGTAACACGCCCCTACGCTTTGATGCAGAAAATATTTGACGAAGCTAAGTTAAAAATAGTTTTGACTGAAGTTCAAGAGGGCTTTCCAGAAGAAATATATCCTGTGCATTCTTTTGCTTTAATTCCTAATGAGTAATATTATATTCAATGTATTAATTATTTATATTGTTTATTATTAAATAGTTACGGTTGTATAAATGATGGTTTCATTTACGACTTAAATGGAGTAATATTTATTAACATTTGAATAGTAAGTTTATCTTTGTTGTGAATCGTGGTCCTAATTCGTGATTGTGTCATTTAATATAGTAGGATCCCAACCGCGCCACAACTTTACAACTCGCAAGTAGATTCACTGTTTTGGTCTTAAGTTACAAAACACTTGCGTCAGAAGCCGCAAGGACTTCGGAAATTGATCAGTGGACTACAATAAAGATTTGTGTTGATACGTAATACTTGGAATAAGCAACTACATATTGTGTAATGATTCTAGTCTCTTTTAAAATAAGAATTAGTTCAGTTGACCTGAAAGTAAACTTTTCGATTACACTTACATCCATTGAGTAATAGCGTATCTCCGATAGTAATTAGCCCTTGAATAGATGATGATGTTCAATCAAAGAACAGTTAGCGATGAACATCGCACCGCGCTCTACTATTAAGGCCCCATCAATTTCAAAGTCGTAGTATCGAACCATGCCCCACAATTTAAGGTTACAGTTACATTCCGCAACGCTGAAAGTTTATGTTCCTAGGATCTATAGTGTTCCAAAAATAAATTTTGTTGCACTACTTTAAAACATCATTATCTCAACAAACCTTGAAAGAATGAACGTTCTCAATGTGTTAAAAGAGGCAAATATAATCTAAATGCTAAAAGTCACTAGCGTTCAATCGTATATATATACCGTCGTCGGCAAAACATGATCAGTGAGAATATTTATCAGTACAAACTTTAAAAGTTAGTGACACCAGATGTGTTTACAATTGCGATTCACGTTGCTTGGTTAAAATGTAACGTTACTTTTACGTGTATTCCTATTGGGAGTAGAAATCTACTAGTCATGACTAACTGTAAACTTATTGATGTAATTGTTTAGGACAGAGAAAAAATGCTACGCACATCCATGTAATTGATAAAGCTTGGTTTATTTAAGCGTGGATTTGATATTCCGGCTTGTGTTCAGATAATTTTGGTTCTCATAGTGCGGTCGTTGCCCTAAGTAACGTCAGAAAATATACTTTCCACTGTAGCTACTGGGATTCAGAAAAAGTTGTTACAACTTTAATTAGTTGCTTGTGATTAGATATTCTTCTTCATAAAAAAGGATTAAATATTAAGACTGCGCTGTTATTGCGATTCAAAATTCGTCATGTTCTTTTCATCGTCGAAACTTATTACATTTTGTGAGTACACAAGAATAGTGCAAACAAAAATTAACAATTATTTTTTAAATTTAAATGTTGTCATATCATCGGAGATATTTTTTTATTAAGTACTATTGAAATCTTACCCGTAAATAACGAATAAATAATTAAATGTAAGAATCTAATCTCAAATTTAAGTCCTAACGTCTCGTGAAACAGGTTACCACTTCCCCTTAGACTTGCAAAAAAACGTTACGTTTCAAAGATAACCGTTGAACGTGACTTGCTTAGAAAGAGTCTGACTATCGTGTTGTGTCTTAGTTGCAAATCAAATACAAGATCACGCATGAATTCTACTTATACCGTTTACTACTTAACGCGACTATGTGCATGAAGACGTGTAGTTCAGCGCGGGTCACGGGAAAATTATCGTACAATAGCAAAATTCTATTATTATGGCTCGTAGGTTAGTAATATTTCAGTCCTTGATGATTTATACTGAAATTAAACTATTAACTTAAAGTATTTTATCGATTTTAGATATCACACCATTACGGTATTAATATATATATATTTTTTTGTCATTTAAAAAAGACAACTCCCGCATTAGGAATATATCCTGTGTCGCGGGGGACTTTACAAACATACATGAAACGGACACAAAGAACACCCAGACTCAGAACAACAATTTGTGGATCACACAAAGTGTCGTCCCATGTGGGGTTTGAACCCACAACACTCGACGTAGTAGGAAGCGGCGTGGCGACCGCTTAAACCACTACGCCATCCGTGCAGTGCAGCATATACATATACAAATATACATATATATATATAATTCGTTATTTATAATTACGAGCAAAACTGCGTGAATCACATAATGTTTTCTTTCCCCCACTTAAATGTTTATGTTAATTACATAAAATCATCTCACCGCTGTTCTAACACATATTTAACACAGTCCCTAGAAAGGTTATAACGATGAAAATATATCATAATATTCGTAAACATTATATGTCTTGTAGGTTAGAAAACATTTCGTGAAAGGCTGTACACATACGTAGAAAGTAGGATTTGATTTCTTCTACAAGATCGCCTACTTTAAATCTGGTTGTCAATTCGTTTACTAAACGTAAAAGTTTTTCATACAATTAGTTGGAATGTTTGAAAAGCATGTGAAGCGAATTCTAACTTAATCAGTCTAGTAAATTCAAAGCAAATTGACTGTGACAGTTGGATAGAGAGCCAACGGTTTCAGCTACGTTTCGTTCTTTCATTCGGTTGTACAAAATCCTGAGAGGAAGATTCTCTAAATAAATTTATTTTTGAGGTTAGTTGAGAATTAAATTAGGTACTATAATCTTTGAAACCCATAGTTGCGAAGTAACCATATAAATGAAATTAATGCGGGTGAAACTACCTCTCTTATTTTATAAGTGCAATTTTACATGCAAACGAAAGCTGTTCAAAAAGTTACTTAAGATATTTTTTACTTTTACACAGAGAAATTTGTACATCGTTATCTAACAAATGACACAAGTGCATATCTTGATATTCATGTAGATAAATGTAATTCATATTAAGTGTGCGTTGCAAAAATACATTTACAGGTTTTGTCAACTGTTGCCGCTTAATTAACTTCCACGTTTCACTTTTGATATTAATATAACATGGCCAGCTTGTTTTACTATTGTCAGTATACGTCAATTTATGATACAATATTATTATTCGCTTAATTTGAAGCATAAGTAACATAAAGTCTTAAAAATAAAACGATCAAAGAAATAAACAAGGCTCATAAAGCCAGCTTTTTACATTACCATCGCAACTGCAGACTTGTGGGCATGAGTTGTTCTAATGGATTTTCCATTATCTTTCTTTCGCGGGTGTGCCTCATAATTTTCAAAAATTACAAGACCACATTTATTTTTTGTTCTGTGTGCACTTTTCCTGTTTACCACGGCACCATTAATAAGTACTCGTATTCATTGTAATAAGTCTAGTCATAAACAAAAAGAACCTCAATAAAACAGATCCAATGAGCTTTCCAAATACGTTAATTACTAATATAGGTCCGTTAGCACTATATTTTTGGTCCTAAGTTAAATCCTTATTGACCATTAGCTATATAACAGTTACGTTAACATTTCTAAAAGTGACGAACGATAAAGGACGACTGGATCATCATTAACTGTTCGTCTACCACATTTGCAATAATTAACTCTCTCTTTCTCTCTCTCTTACAAACTCTAAGTATGCACTATGCCAAGATAGATTTTGTCAGGGTATCCTCTCATAATGTTCCTCATAATTCTGCAAAAACATGTTAGTAGTGGAATTTTTGATAAAATACATTTTCTTCAGATTTAATGCATTGCAATTGCATGCACAAAAGTGTTTCACAATGAATAAAAATGTGACGCGACACTACTATGATATAAACTCTAAGCTAAGCAATGCGAAACAATAATTGTTTTATCAAAATAAATATATTATTCTCATGACTCAACTTCACCCCTCGTTTTAAACCGTGCTTTAAAGAAATCTTTAAAGACACCGCCCGCTTGCCTGTCATATGCAACTACTGCAGCATATTAGCAATAATACAGTCGAGATTTATCTAACATATGACTGTTCCATGACATTGATTTAATTGAATATTATACTGCTCCTCATTACAAAATAAGAACAAGATTGGAAGCAATAAAATGGTCAGTGGGAGACGACACGACAATCCACTTAGTTGCCATCCGACTGTGACAATTTACCCTGAATTAAGATGGTATCGTGCAAACTGTATCTTGGCAACAAAGTACTCAACTTTGTAACAAAAAGATCTAACTATGTTTAATTAAGTACAATTTATTTGTAAGAAGCTTCTTTCAATGTATTATTGTTGAGACATTTTTGTGTCATAATGTATAGGAGTAATTCTGTTGATACATTCCAAGTTTTTAGATTTATGATATAATATTCATTGAATAATTCTATCCAAAATGCAAGTCTAACAAATACTCGTTAAAATACATTCAAAGTATGTACATATAACATTAATCAAACAAGCCAATAATAAAGCAAACAGAGAACATTCCCGATTCTTTTTGTAAGCTTGTTAGCGTGGAAGTGTAAAGATTATTTCCGTCGAAAGAGAATACTCTGAGGTGATTTATCGTCAGTGCCAAACGGTCGCAGTAGATTATCACGCGATCTTTACACGTTTTAGACGCCAATTAAGCGATAATATGCCGTGATATATTTTTGAGTTTATTGGTAATATGCCTCTATTGAATAAGTATCACTTTGATAACATTTTTATGTAGGTAAATATGACCTTAATTTGTAATCAATCATCATCCGCCTACCCTTTTCCCAATTTTATTTGGGGTCGGCGCAGTATGTATGATTTTTCCATTCTACTCTGTCATGCGTCATCTCACTGTTTACTCCCTTCCTAGCCATATCAATATAAAATATAATTTGTAATCAATATTTGTGATAAAATTAACGCCGTGAATGAACATTTTCTAATAAAAGTCGGTGTTGAAAAATAGAAATCTATTAAAAGGTTATGTAGGCATTATTCGTTTCTAAGAAATCTGGAGAAAATTATACCAATAAATGAAACAAGAGCACTCAGTCTCATAAGACTGAGTGCTCTCTGACTAAGACGAGTAATGTTTTGTTTAGCACTTTTATGTATATGTAGTACCTACCTATTAATAGCTTTTGCATTTGCATTTCATTATTAAAAACTTATTTAGTGATACCGTG